TCCAACAACTTAAAAGGGCTGTGAGGACTAAAACGCATAGAATTTGTTCTCACATTGCACAGGACATATGAAGGTTATGGCGCAATCCTGCTCCCTTATCCACGTGGTTCAGTGACTGCGTGAAGATGAATCTGAGAATACAGTTAGCAATGGGAAATGGAGGAATGGTCTTAGCTGTGCTCAGCTCAGTCATTTGCCTGAACCCTTAAGTATACTTCATTCAGATATACCTGCAATTTTAGGACTTTTAAAGAGTGCTTGATTGAGCACCTTTAGAAACCTCCCCGGGAGCAGGAAGCCAGGCTTGTTAGGGACAATGCCAGTGGGCTTTGCAGGTGTGCCCTGCCCCAATCACTGGATTGACCCTTTACATGTTCAGGTGAAGACCTGAAGACAGCACTTGGAACTCTTCCTCTGAAGCTGGTAAATTAAAGGCAGGAAAAGATGGTCTCGTGTTTCCACTGTTCAAGTGATGTACAAAATATTTCAAGTTAAGAAAAAGTTTCAAGTGCAATGTTCAGGGAAGACTACAGCTGATATTTCCCCAAACTTGGCTTCCATGCCTGTGCTAATTGCACAAAGCCCAACTGCTTTCTTCCACAGGGAGAATCTCTGCCAGAAGCTGCTCTAGTTTATATATTCTTGTGGCTTAGACATGTGGTAACAAGGGCTCAAAGGGAGCACAAGAGGGGGCCCCGAAATTTAATGCAGCTTAGATTTGACCATGAAGGGCCTATTCACACTTCTTGTCCCACTGCTCCCAGCCCCCAAAACCACTTTAGCATCCAATAGGAGCAAATGGCCCCAAGGTGGCTGTCACCGATGGAAGCGAAAGCTCTGAAAAAGCTCAATATAACTTGCTGTTGAAATGGAATACTCAGGATGAAACGGTGAAATCTGCTATGATTAAATGGGCACAAGATGTTGGATATAACATAATGATGGCTGACTCGGAACAGTTATGGACCACAGGTATGAAGTTTACGGCATGCAATGCCTTAAGAGAGAATATTATGAAAATGATATACAGGTGGTACATGACCCCAGTCAAGCTTGCAAAAATCTACCATTTGCCCGATAATAAATGTTGGAAATGTAAGGAAACTGAAGGTACATTCTTTCACCTTTGGTGGACGTGCCCAACGATTAAGGCTTTCTGGGAGATGATATATAATGAATTGAAAAAGGTATTTAAATATACCTTCTTGAAGAAACCAGAGGCCTTTCTCCTGGGCATAGTCGGCCAATTGGTGTTAAAGAAGGACAGAACTTTTTTTATGTATGCCACAACAGCAGCAAGAATACTCATTGCAAAGTATTGGAAGACACAAGATCTACCCACTCTGGAAGAATGCCAGATGAAGGTGATGGACTATATGGAATTGGCGGAAATGACTGGCAGAATCCGAGACCAGGGAGAAGAGTCGGTGGAAGAAGATTGGAAGAAATTTAAAGACTATCTACAGAAATATTGCAAAATTAACGAATGTTAGAATGATGTTGGATTGAAGTTAAGTGGTTTCTAGCTGTAATGGTATAAAAGAATATGAAAGAATTGGATTTTTAACAGGTAAAAATTTAATGCTATAATATATTAAGATTAAGGATCAGGATAAAATAAGGAGGGAAGGAACTGCTGAACTAATAAATTGAACTGGAATACAAAAAAGGGAGGCATGAGGAGGTCCGGGAAACAAGCAAATGAAAGATAAGTGACAAAAAGATGGAATTGTTTTTAACTGTTTTTTTATTTTGTATTTTTTCTTTTTTTCTTTTTTCTTTTTCACTATGTAATATTGTGAAAACTTTAATAAATATTTATTTTAAAAAAACAACAATAGGAGCAAATGGCAATTCAGGTTTTCCCTGCATTGCCATTTGTTCTGATCTATCGCTCAAGAGTGTGTTTTCCCTTTGAAAGGAGCGAGGCAAGAGAGAAACAACTCAGACCCATGCTTTCTTAGCATGGCACAAGCAGAAGTGTGGCCGAGCCCAAAATTGCACCTGTCAGCTGTATAATTTCTCCATCACCTTTTCTTAACCTTACGACCAAGGAGGCTGGCTCCTGGAATTATGCTACACCTTGACAGCCCCTTGAACAAGTCTGCTAATTTATTAGACACTTCAGTGCTCCCTCAGTCAAATCTACCAGTCACTGCTGTCTGTTTGGGTTTCTTAAGATGTGGCAACCTTTATGAAACCTGTGTAGTCAGGGCTAGAAGGCCAACAGAAGGCACCACAACAATGGCCACAAGGCAGCAGGAGACCCGCAATAATGGCCAACCATGGTGGGAGGCAGCAGACCTAAAGAAGGAAGGTCACCCTTACAAATTAGGAGCCCCCATTAGGTTTCCTTGATGCACCTCAGATTTCAGGAGGACGGGCCTAGGCCTCCCCAGTATTGAAATGTCTGAGAAGGATTCTAACAGCCTGGTGCTATGCAGAATGAGGGGCACCTAAACCCATGGAATCAAGCGCTTTGGAGCACCTAACCCTGCAAAGCACCAGGCCTTCCCCAAGTCTTTCAGACAATTCATTAGGGGAGCTCTGGGCCCTGTTTTCTTTCTTCCCACTCTTCTCAGGAGTTAGGGCAACATAGGAAGGTACATCCTACCAAGTCAGACTCCTGGTCCATCCAACTCAGTACTGCCTACACTGACTGGCAGTAGCCCTCCAGAGTTTCAGGCAGAGGACACTCTCTGTTCTACCTGGAGATGCCAGGGATGGCACGCAGAAGGTCCCTGGTTCAAAGCAACTGTTCTGCTATCAAGACACAGATCTTCCACTTATTTCACTGACAATCAAGGTTGTGTTTCAGCAGATCCCTTTTTGTTTGTTGTTTTTTAAACTGTTACTGAAATAGCAGTGCTTTTTATGTGTTTAAAAAGAGGCCTACTGAAGCCTTTCTGTTCACCTTGGGTACCTTTTTTCTCTTTTTGTACATTTCCCCCCTTGTTCCCAAAGAACAAGCATCCCCCACCCACCCACCACCCTATATTCCTTCCTTTTTACCTTATTAAAAAGAACAGGCTGCTATGTGCCTTACAATAACTCCAGCTTCCTGGCTCCAGGAAAGGCGGTTTTTCATTGTTTGCCTTTGCTGTGCTCTAAAGAAAGCCAGTTGTATTTCAGTCATCCCCCAAGAGCCTTCCAAAAGACAATCCAGGACAAAAGCATTGACAGACAATGACTACAAAAACAAGCAACAATGCTTTCTGGATGCAACTTGCCCATTCTGAGTCTCTTTACACGCAGGCCTGGGAGGAGGGGGAGGGGGAGAACAACGAGGAGAACAACAAGAAGAACAACTCTGTACCTGGACAACGCTGCAACAAGGTGCGCTCTGCGGCCTATTTAATCATTATGCAACCTTTTTCAAACAAAAAACAAAATCCTACTGCCACATATATATTCGGCTTCCACAAATCATTCAGAAAAAAAGTAAGGGGCTGTGCCTAACCTGGTCCTTTGAAATCTGGCCCACTCCTTTTCCACCTTTTCTTCTTAAAGCTTATGCCAGACCTATGTACAGTACTTCTAATTCTGAATCTGCAATCACAACAGCAATAAACTTGAGTGTAAAAGGAACTGAAAGTATTCAAAGGGACAATTTCTCTGACCACCACACTTGCAAGCAATCACATACAGACAGCGTGCAGCAGTGCACAGAATGTTGCACAAGTAAGACACCGCTGTGAAGCTCATTGGGTCTCTGACCATCTCTTAGTCTGACCTACCTCACAGGGGTGTTGTGATGATAGAACTGTGGAGGTGGGAAGAAGAGAGCCTTGGAGGAAAGGACGGGGGGGGGACAACATTAACATTCTAGCATCCTGTCCCGCCTCCCCGCCCCCATCATAGGATTTACTCTCTCACACCTTCTCCATGACTGTGCCACAGTATCCTCTCCATCCAGCACAGAATGAACACAATCAGCCCTCTCAAGCAGTTGCCATTTATCTGCAGTTTCAGGCAATAGCTGATCAGCCACATTAGCAGGCACATATTCCTCTTTTTTATTTGGCAAACTTATAAACCACTTAACCTTTTCGGCCAAAATCCCAAAGCAGCTTAAAGATATTATGAATTCAAAATACAGTAAACACAATAAAATAATATAGATGAAAACTATTGTGGCATAAATAAATTGTAAAAACTTCCATCACTTATGATAGCAAGTCAGCAACGGAACAGGGTAACACCACCAAGCATCCAAAACATGTGTTTTTAGGAGACATCTGAAGCATCCCACAGACAGAGCTTCCCAAATCTCTTCTTGGGTCAGCGTTCGAGGGGGCCAGTGCTACATCTGAAAAGGCCCATTTCCCAGAGGTTTATTATCGTAAAGGTTGATTTGGCTTGTAACAGTGAAGGTATCCTGGTCCCAAGTTGTGCTTTATATGTCAATAAATAAAACACTGTTCTTGGCTGAGTAGCAAACAGGCAGCCAGTGCAGATCCCTAAGCAGCAGTGCAATGTTTGTGTGGCTAGATCAAGCTTCCTCCAGATGTTTTTGGCCTACAACTCCCATGATCCCCAGCTAGCAGGACCAGTGATCAGGGATGATGGGAATGGTAGTCTCAAAACATCTGGAGGGCCACCCATAAATCTATATGCAGCTTCTGAACCAAGCACAAGAACTGCCTCACATTACAGCAATCTAATATAGGAAGTTTGGTCCAAGTAAGCAATTTTTAAAAAATAATATTTATTAGTTTTCAATTACAATCCAATAATAGCCTCATCATAACAACAGCAATTTATAATACAATTATTAATACCAATTGTTCAAATACCGAATTATGTAATTTAGATAAAGTGGCCCCTTGCATGCTAGATTTGATGATTTTATTTATTCTGCGTTCTCTCCACTGGTGAAATTGATGTCAAAGACAAGGCCCAACTTTCTTGCAGTAAAGGAATATTGAATCATTAAATTGCAGTGTTGGAAGGGTCCATGAGGGTCATCTAGTCCAATCCCCTGCAATGCAGAAATCTTTCGTCCAATGTGGGGCTCAAACCCACAACCCTGAGATTAAAAGTCTCATGCTCTACCAACTAAGCTATCCAGCCTGAAAAGCACTCTCTGCTCTGCCAAAGACTCTTTTCTCTCTCTCTCTCTCTCTCTCTCTCTCTCTCTCTCTCTCTCTTTCTTTCATAGGGCAACAGACTATTCTTGGCACTGTGGTGGGAAAAGCAGTTGACATATCATATGCACGGTTCTTTCCTGTGCTCTGCTGACCTCCACGTAATTTGCACAGACTCCTAAAAGCACATGGTCCAAAGGCCTTGCTTCAGATATTGCACAGCAATGGATTCTGTGTCACTCCCTTTAAAAATGGATGTAGGAGCTATACTGGTGGTCCAACTTAAATGGGGAACTATTCACAAACATTGCAGAAGCTCAGGTACTGGCTCCCACTTGCACTGGGGCTGCTAACTGCAAGCCATTTCAGATTGGAATTCCATTCCATGATGCTCCTGGGTCTACAAAGTCAGGGGATGCTGGCGGACTAATCCAACGCTACCCAAGAACTAGGAAGGCTGACATCTCTGCTTACTTCTTTCTGTCTGAGCAACTCACAGCTGGAAGAGGCCATTTTCATCCTCTTCCTGCTGTCTCCAGGCTTCTGGTTCCCAGACAGTCTCAAGGTACCTGCCTGTCCTTGCCTGACAATTATGTCATTAAAAGCACTTAGCATATTTCACTATAGTATTGCAGAGCTCGAGGTTTATGTTCCATTACACATCACTTTTTATCTTCCCTGGAAATACTGGTGCATATGTTTCAAAATTAAAACAAGAAGTAGCATTAGAACACACATATAGATTTTGCTCATCCAAGCTTCAAAGAATATTCTATATTACACAAAACAAATAGAATGCCAATAGAGATATCAAACCAAAAAGACCAGTGGTTGGTATAATTATATTGCAGCTATTCCTTTATTATGAGATCCAAAAATATGACTTGGGAAGGCGATATTGTGCATTTTAAGGTGGCCATGCGCACTCAAAACGGCCGCTCAGAATGTTCCTCCCCCCAGTTCAGAGGTCAGTAAGTCAGGAAAGAATGTTGATGGTACCATTTGCTATCAGATAGGAGTGTAAATAAACGAGGTCACTTTCTTACAGGACCCATAAAGCCAGAAAACAAAAACATGACTTCCACACCAGCCCCAGGCTAAAAGGCCCTCACTTCCACCAGTCAACAGGCCTCATTTAGCTTTTCTCAGTGTTTGCTTAGTTACAAGAACGCAGATGCAGATCTGACAAAAACACTACATTCTGCAAATGCAGTTCAGTCCTCATAGTGGGGGTGGGGAAGTCCATCCACAATGCAAAATTTAAAAATGCTTAATGACTTCCACCCCAAAATCCATGAGTCATGTTTGTGTGTTGCAACAAGCTTTTAAAAATAAGTCAGTCAATCCCAATATTTTCAGGAGGAGGCTGTGGCCATTAAAACTGCTCCCAAGCCAATTTGTATTTCAAGTGTGAACATTCCCTCAATTAGGGATGGGGACCCAGAGGTTGCTGAACTCCCAAGCTCACATCAGCCCCACCCAGCATGTTCAAGCTTCAGGGATGATGGGAGTTTTAGTCCAGCAACATCTGGAGGGCAACAGGTTTCCCACCCCTGTCCTAGATTGACTGGAAACATGAATCCCAAAAAAGGATTCTACAAACAGCTCCCCTCCCTATGCTTTTTACAACAGGGGATATCTGCCCCATATTCATGATAAATACACAGCAGCCAGGCACACCACAGCAGCAAATGTGCTATAAATAACCAGGATAAGCCAGTTAAGAAATTCCTTTCAGTAATTCCATCCTATTACTTCTGGCTCTTCATCCTTCTACTGCTATACACAATTCCGACTCCTTGGTATTTGCCAGTCAAATATTTATAGACTATTAGCAGTGCTAGTCCAGGGGGATGGCTGCAACGCAAGAGAAGAGAACATGCTTTGCATGCAGAAGATCCCAGGCTTAACTCCTGCCATCTCCAGTTGAAAGTATCAGGTACCAGGTGACAGGAAAGATCTCAGGCAAAGGCCTCAAAGAGCTGCTGCCATTCAGAGTAGATAATACTTGGCTAAACAGACCAGAGACCTGACTCAATTCCTGGTGCAATTCCATTAAGTCAGTGTGCAGTCAAACATAGGAAGAGATGCTGGCTTAGGAAAGGGCCACAGCTCCAAAATGGAGATCCTGTTTTGCACGCAGAAGGGTTGCAGGTTCAATCCCTGGCATCTCGAGAGACCTCTGCCTGAAACTCTGGAAAGCTTCTGCCGGTCAGTGTAGACTATACTGGGTTACATGGAACAATGATCTAACTATGTACCAGGATCCTCTGTAGCCACAGCACATCCCCATAGAAATCACTGAGCAATTTGTGTCGTGAAGGCCAGCAGTTTGTCCCCACAAATGAGGTTGCTAGAATTTATTCCAGCTTTGATTTTTTATTACATAAAAGCAAGCAAGCAAGCAATCCAGTGCTCCTCTTTTCCCATTCAGAATTTAGGGAACAAAAAGAGAAAAACCCAGCTAAATGTGAGGGAATTTAAATCAGCTTCTCTAACTTCTCCCCTTAAAAAAGAAAATGCGTTGCATATCTTAATAAAACTATTTGTCTCACTTCTTTGTGCCATTTCTGTGCAGGAAATACAAACAAACATGTTTGTTCCATGCCCAGAATTTAACGCAAAAATATTATCTGAAGCACTTTGCAAGGTATGGCAGAGTATGGAGAAGGAACTCTCACCAATTTTGCTCCTGCGTTTGGACTTATCCTCAGCTTCAAACTTAGGCTTCAGAAGAGCTCAGAAACAGTCACATCAGTATGCCTTCAGAATGCAACACAATGTCAGATCTGAGGTTCCTTCCACCACACCCAGCCGAGTCTTCTCTGCATGCCAGAGGACACAGGGAGAAGTAGAGCCGGTGGCAACCACAAACATTAGCTGCCTGTTACAGCTGGAGAAAATATGTGAGCCTCTCTGCTCATCGTGCGCAGGCAACGGGGAGGGGCTGTAGCTCACCTGCTTGGCACCATCCGTCCGGCATTCAAGCGGCGCCGGCAGCAAACCGCTATGTACTACGCATGCGCAGTGTCACACACATGCACTGTACATAGCGACGTCGCACATGCGCTGTACGTAGCGGTTTGCCACCGGTGCCGCTCAAGCGCCGTACGGACGGCAGTGAGATCTCTCCACCACCGCGAGCAGAGGATCCTGCCACCGTCCATATGGTGCTTGGGCAGCGCCGGCAGCAAACCACTACGTATAACGCATGCATGGTGTCGCACACATGCGCTATATGTAGTGATGCCGCACATGCGCCCTACATAGCGACGCCATGCATGTGTCGTACGTAGCGGCGCAACGCATGTGCAGCCGGCAATTTGCCCCGCCCCGGGTGTCAGTTAGCCTTTGTTTGCCCCGGTGACAAAAGCCAACAGGTTACGAGCAACCACAATTCTCAGCTTGGCTACCAAGGAAGCCAAAGACTGGACCTCCAAGGCCACCCTATGCTTGGGGCCAACTGAAAGGTACTCTGAGGCCTACGCAATCTGGGGCAGCTTTCCTCAACCTGGTGTTTTCCAGTTGTTGTTTGGCCAAAACTCCCATTAGACCAAAGGTCTAAGGAGTGGTGGGAATTGTGATCCAACAACATATGGAGGACACCAGGATGGAGAAGGCTCTTGGAAGAGACGCACACTGAGGCCACAGGGATGGGGAGGTGCAGGAAACAGCCTTAAACATCAGCTCAAACCACTTTCAAATCAGTAAGCATGGCAGGGCAATTTGCCACTGGGCTACACTTCCAAAGCTGCCCCCTTCACGCTCTTCTCCCCAACAGCTGGACATTTTCACCGTCAGGTTACTCTGTTTTTAAACAGATCTTCCAACCATAACAAGCAGAACCCAGGGAGGGCTTGAAACCGGCAGGAGAGAGAGAGTTTGCAGACAGTCCCGTCTAGACGGATTTGCATCCTTGTAAACACAGCAGTCCCTATTTTGGGGGGTTGCCACCTGCCCCAGAGCCAGAGGCACTGGGATGCAGTAAAGCTCTGTGTCTGATCAGAGCTTCCTTCACAAATGCAATATGACAACTGGAATGAAGAAGGGGGCAGTGAGAAGAAGAGGAGAACCACATAAACGCTCCTTTTCTTCTGTCACAGCATTGCAGCTGCAAGCTTGCCAAAGCAGTGCCCAATTCTGAAGAGCTCCATGTTGATCAGATAATTTATGCAAGTATATAAACAGTTTCTCACCTAGTCACCAATGGAGGGTAAAGTGTCGCTCCAAGTGACCAGGCATAAGGCAAACACTGCAAACCAGCAGAATACAGTTTTCATTCTGTTGCTTGGTGCGTTCTCAACTGATGTTTAAAAACTGTATTTTTAAAAAAATTACTTATTTCATAAAATTTATATATTGCTCGACTGTAGACAAAAACCTCAGAGATTTGACCCCCAAAAAGACAATAAAATTAGCAGCAATACTAAGAAAATGAGCAAGGTAAAGAATACGCACACCCAAAGAATCAAGTGCATCTTTCAAATCTATCAAAAATAGGTTTGTTTGTTTTTTAGAAAAAGATTAAGCTAATCAATCAAGTTGGTGAAACTTTGCAGTCAACAGACAGCCCAAATAAGTTCACAGAAAAGGTGTTCTTACTCTTCAACATTTGTTGCTTTTTAAAAATGAAAGTACACCACCCCCCCTCCTCTTTTTACATTCCCTTTTAAAACATGACAGATGACCTCAGTGGAAAATGTATGCATCAACATGCAAAAAAGCACTTTTACATCACTCTGGTGGTCTGCTATGATGGCAAGCAAGTAGAAGCCAGGATTGTTAGCAAGCTAAAAAAATAAAATACTTAAAAGCCGGGTTTGTACTACTGTACCAAAAGAATGGCCAAGCATGAACAAGCAGGTGCACAGAGCAAAAACTGCAACTGCTTCAGTCCTCCTCTGGTCTTGCTGATGTCACAAAACACAGGGCTCTTCCTTGAGAGTAAGGAAAAGCTCTTTATTCAGGCTAATCCCCTCGCATGGC